CCCCAAGTAAAACACATTTGATTTTCAAATTCCGATTTTGACTTTCAACTTCAATCAATCAGCAAGCAAAATCAATTGTGAATCAAAACAAAATCGAACAACACCAGTCGATTCGAATATCATCTGAACTCAAACTGGAAACAAGAACATTTTGACGAACAAAAATAATCGAATCAAACTCAAGATTGATGACCACGATGAGAGTGTACAACTCGGTTATGCGCAAGATGAAGAACGGACACAGTGAAAGTATCAAACTGATTTAATCCATCTTGGGCTCCAATCTTAAAGAAATCAGATCACGAAAAAAAATATGTGGACTCCATATTATCGGATTCAAGTGAAACATATGGGCTTCGAAATTACATGAACACTAACTGATCATGTTTTGTCACACAATTGGGCTCTATGTATAGTATAATTCGAAATATGGATCTCAAAATGACTTTTGGGCTGAATCAAGTATCATGAACACTTTGGATGAACAGTAATTTCGAAAAGAAATAAAAATTGGAAATATGATTTTGATTTTTGGAATTTTGATCTAAACAAAAATAATTGGATCAACTATGGGTTTGAAACGGATTATATCCAATGAGGCAAATCGATCAAAAATAAAAAATGAAAAATACGAATCGAAATCATGGACATTTTGGAATCCATTTGAGAATTTGAGATACCTTTTTGAGGAATCGAGATCCATTTTCAACGAACGAATCGAATTTAGAAGATCTTGGTTCTTTTGTTGGAACGAGAAAATCTCCAATTTGAACATTGTACCACCCACTATGCGAGATGTACAACTCGTTCTTCGTGTTCTTCGTGTTCTTCAACGATCCAAAAACATCTTCAAAAGAACCACCAACACTTTTGGGTTTTGACTTCAAATTCAATTCAATCTTTGGAGATTGTTGCTTTGGAACCCAAATTTGCTTCACGGATTTCGGCTACACAACATTTGACGATTTTTGTGAGTAAACCCGCTTTTTTTTTGCGTTTGATCTTCTTCTTCTTTTTATTTCTCATATTTTTGCATCTTGAAGACTTGATTTCATGAACAAACCCACTTTCCACAACTTTAACTTTGTGAATTTGAATCAAATCTTTTGGAGTTTGATACTTGTGAATTTCTTTGATCACCGGCTTCCGATAATGAATCACTCCTTCAAACGAATCACAAGAACACAAAATATCATCGGTTTGAACTCCAATCGAGCAAAAAACTTTTTCATCATAAGAATCAACTTGAATTCCTTTTTCTTGAACATCAAGAACACCAAGAACATCAAGAAAACGATGATCATCAACAAGAACATCTTCAACAAACTTAAGAGCATGAAGATCACTTGGGTTTTCAACAAGAGAAATATATCTCTTATGATACAAATCTCTCTCTTCTCCTTCTTTTCGATTATCACTTGCAACTAACTTTAATATCAAAAGATCATACAAACATTCAATCTTCAAAAGTGGTTGAAATATCAATCTTCCATGATCATCCTTCAAACCTCCATAAGAAATCAAAGTTTCTTGTGAAATCAGCCCACTTAACACGAATCCATAGAATTGAAATGCGTTGACCTTATATTTCACACCTTCAATGATTACAACCCAAGAATCATACTCCAAACGTACCATGATCACAAAAACTTGAAGATTTCTAGAGAGAGAAAGTGATTTTGAATGGGTTTTCTAGAGAGAGAAAGTAAAAATCACTTGAATTCTAGTGAAGAAAATCGAATTATGAATAAAATCAAAGATGAATTCGATTTCTAGAATCCAAAAATTCTCTAAATCATGAAGATCAAAGATCAAAAAATGAATCACCAAATCAAGAAAGCCATCAAGGATCAATTCTTGATCCAATCAAGAACACCCGCTCTGATACCAATTGTAGTGGTGTTGATTATGATGGCATGTGCGGAATTAGAAAAGATCTAGTGAATCATCACATAAACTCAACAACACAATGAGTAAATAAATCTGTGTAAGCTCATATTAGATCTAGAAAGGATATACAAATGGGTTTGTATAAATTTTCTCTCTCTAGTCTAACACTCCAAAATGATCATTCGAAATATGAGTGTCACTCACTTCCTATTTATAGGAAGACAACTCATTTACACATCAATAAGGGTAAAGCACAGAAACATCCAAGCGTGACTTTGCACCCTAACACTAACCCCCGGGTCTTCCTACTATACACAAACATAATGGGCCGGCATTATGGCCGTAGACCCATGCACACAGTGAGGAGACTCACCTTGCACCGTTGAAGTCCTACTGACAATCCTCTGGCTGCTAACTGGCAATTCCCCAAACTTTTGCTCCTTCGGCTCCCCGAGCTACCAGTAACAAAATGATACTTAGTCCCAAAATGTCCTTAAGGTAAAACTAGGTCAACCTTGGTCAAAGTCAAAGTCAACATTCAAAGTCAACACTCCGAGTTGACTCAACTCGCCGAGTTGCTCCATCAACTCGTCGATTTCTAAATCTCAGAATTCTGAAATCGCGATCCAACTCGTCGAGTCAACCCTTGACTCGCCAAGTTCCCAGCCGCGAACAAAAATCGGGACAACTCACTTCAACTCGTCGAGTCCCTCCCTGGACTCGCCGAGTCCCTCAGTCTGTTTGGACCATCTTAACAGATTAAGCCCCTACAGTTCAGATCTAAACCCCAAACTTCGTCCATATGCTGAAATTGACCTTTTAAGGGTAAAGTTTCTAACTTTACCCACTCCTAATCCTTCTTAATGGGTTTAGCTCAAACCCTAGCTCCTTAAGACATAAATCTTTGTCCAAAATCCTTATTACTCCAATCCAAAGCAGGAGAACCAAGATCTAGGCTCTAGTCACTCAATAAGCACGTAAAGTCTCAAACTTTACTCCCATGCATGGCCCTTTGGGGCTTAAAAGGCCATAACAACATCCTTAGGGTTTGCATGGAACTCCAATGGCATAAAGTTTGCACCTTTATACCTTCACAACCCTCAAAGACTTCAGATCTGAAAGTATAATCAACTTGGGACATCCATGATCCATAAATCAAGCTCCTTGGACAAAAACCCCATAAAGGTTACCACAAGGAGATCTAAGAAACTACAATGCAAGTTAGAAGCTTGATTACTAGAAAGTGATGAGAATGCAACGAAATCCCTGGATCTGCAACCTTCTCCTTGAACCTTCAAGCTTCGTCTTCTTCTTCTAGTCTTCAAGAACACACAAATCACTAAAGGATGGCTCATACACTCCCAAAATGCTATAGGTTTCATGGATGAGGGTTTGCACAATGGAGGCTATAAATGAGGCCAAGGGGTAGAGAATAAGATGCTTAAATAGGGCACCAAGACCCGAATTTAGGGTTTCCATCACTTAACCCGCGGCCCAAAATTCGCTCCTACTCGTCGAGTCATTCCCCAGACGAGTTGCCTTCTTATTCTGAGGTTTTCCTTTCCTTTCTTGGTATTCTAGATTCTGGGTGTTACACTAAAATTTTCCGTTCTGTGGGTAAATCCGTTACCAACTAGAAAATACTGATGTATTTGGATCCGTTGCTTCCGTTGGTAAAGTCCATTAGCGACGGATTACTGTTGGTAATGCTCTTTCTTTTAGTAGTGTTAGGGGTAGTTTGGTAATTCTCAAAGTCGGTTATTAGTTAGTTACCTGAAATTAGTTAATTCTGGAAGTTAAATTCAGTTACATTCACCCGAAATTTGAAAGGTTGCAATGGTTGTGAAGGGTTTTATCGGTTCATATGAGCGTGTATATGTTTGTTAAGATTTTGTAATTTTATTTGTGGAGTTAATAAACAATATATGTTAATTTGTTTGGTAAAGAAACTCTCCTTTACATTTTTTCCGATGCGAATGCTTCTACAAGTTCTGTTTATATCAGATTAAATCCAAGAAATGATTGCATGATAATCAGAAAGAATGACCCTCCATGGATTTGGTGTTACAAAAACTTGAGGAGGAAATATTGGAATTTCTTATTAACTCCAACAAATTGGTACCCGAACCAAGTTGGTTCGATTATAATGACCATATAGAAAACAAAAGAGATAGATAGAACCCTAAATTGTTCTTTATGAACCAGGTAACGGATAATGATGTGGGGCGTAAAATATAACAAGTCACGTAAATAATTAGAAAAGTCGCACATGTATTTTCTTTTATTTTATTTTAGACATTAAAATACGTGAATTGTTGTACGTTGTGAATATTCATAAAAAGATGGCATTATCTTACAAAGGTCAGTTTTGTCTTTAGTAAATCAATCACTATTATACAAAAGATGAAATAATTTTTATGAAAATTTTTGTTGTGTGTCATAAAATTGATACATGTTGTAATTTGTATATCATTAAAAATATTTTTTATATTAGTGCATCAAATGTTGAACCTACTAACTATTACGCCAGCTACACACCTTTATGAAGTGACCAATTCTTGCTATTTATAAAGATTTTCAACCATCGGTTGAGCCGTACAACTTAAAATGGGTTTGATGTACCAACTACAACGACATCACCAGTTTTCGAGGTTATGTGGAAAGGGCTCAACATTGGTAAAGTTATTAATCCAATCAATACGTAGACAATGTTTGACCTCCTACTCACCCCTGAGTTGAAACCTGCGTTGTATGCTACTTCAAGCAGGGACCTCCACTATATATTCTCCATAAAACACAATGTTTCATATGCATACCGTGCTATGCTAACCGGCCGACCGCATATACCATACACCATTTATGTAGATTTTTTTAACAATATATCATCTATCGTTTGTGTGCTTCCTGCTTCTTCCCTTTCTAAATATCTCTAATGTAAAACTATACTTGCTCAGTACATCAAAGAAAGTTCTCATTCATAATAACAGTGGTGGAAACTATATAACATTAACCCAACCCACATCTGCTTGATGTACATTTAACATATTATTATTAATCATTAAGCAAATTGTTTCCAATGACTATTTGAAGAAATGACAATGACTGGATCATTAATACTTTGGAACAAAATCTATGAATAACAGAGTAACGTACTCCACAATTGTCTTTTCTGGAAAAGTGAACGTGTCATTGTACCTATATATCGTATCAGTCATTCTAGCAAGATTAAGAATTGGTGCAAGAAGTTCCATTGAAACTTCAGTTGGCTTAAGACACCCCTCATTGATATCTTTCCACTTATTTTCAATTGTTTTCTTGAGTTCATGAACAACTACATTTTCTGGCACCTCGAAAGTCTTCATATACGTATGCACTGATTCGACTTGTTGTGCTCTTTCACCCTCAAACTTCATATAGACATTTCACCATGTTAAAGACTTAATTTTAAAATTTTAAGATAAACTCTAAATTTAGTATGTTGTTTGTTGTTAGATAGCAATAGATTTGATTTATATACTTCTAATATCAGGAGAAAATAACAATAATGGTTATTGTAAACATGCATTTGGATATTGAAGGAATATACTTTTTATTTTCTAAAAATAGTTGTTTCTATAACGAAATGTATAATTACGAATTACAAACCTGGTAAGTTGTAATATCATTATAAATTCTTCCTAGTAACTTTGTAGCTTCCTCAATATTTGGAGGACTTTCATACCAAGCCAAAGCCTTGTCACAAACAATATCTCCCATAACCATTAAAGAAGATTTTATAAAAACATCATACGTTGAAGTAATTAATCCATTCCTCAAATACTCTTCGAATGATGGCACGTGTCTACGATATCTCCACTCAGCCTCTTGTAGGTAACCTCCAGCTAGTTCTTGAAACTAGTTTATCATGACATATATGAAAGAAAAAAAAAAGTAAAATATATAAGTAGACACAAATAAATGGAATCTACAATACACAAGGTGAAATGGTATCATACTGCTTGTTTTGAAGCATACACCCTGTCTGCTCTTCCCTCTCTAGATAGTTGTTTTTCAACTTCAGTAAGCTCGCTCAAGAGAATGTTGTAGAGTGGTTTAATATATTCCGGGAGTTGTTCCATAACATTAATTCCCCAACTAAAAACGAAATCAAGTTTTCATCAAATAATCCTTGTTGAATAATTTATGCTACTAAATATATGGGATAAGCCACCATTTAATTTTATCATCACATAATTTTTTGTTATTGAACATAATGTTAAAGGTTAGGAGCACATTCAATAACTATACTTGTTTATGGCACTAGCTAGAAGGCGAAGCTCTATTGTATTCAATAACTATACCTGTTTATGGCACTAGTTAAAAGTCGAAGCTCTTCAATAGTACCATATGCATCATATATGTCATCTAACACCAAAATTAGTTGAACCATTTTCGCTATTACGATTCTAGATTGAGAGTAATCAGGGTCCGGAAATATAGCGATTGCCCATAAGTAAACTTCTGGTGTTCTATCTCTTGCATAAGGAGTTATAGTCTTGAAATCCATGTCCTTGATCCACCTAAATGACAAGAATATCATACAAGCTCTCTTATGTCAGGAGCATGAAGACTAATATGCTTTTAAATTCTAATAATTATGCCAATTGGTATTTATACACTAGTATTAACTTGTGCGGAGTGCATTTACGTACATGTTATGTTGGATTAAAAAATGAGTAATTGTATTCATTGCATGAAGAATTTCCCTTTTATCATTATTGTAACACGCTCAAAGCTTAAATCTATAATATAATGATATTTCAACAAATGTTGAGAAACACATTAAAGTAAATACATTCATTTACTAGGGCATAAGTTTATTTAGTGTTAGGAAAACGGGGTGTTTAGATTACTTGGAATACCGAGAGTCGTGAAAGCACAATCAAATTAAAGTATTTCGATGGTACTTTCGAAATCTCAATTGGATAAAACTCAGCAAAGTTCCAGAACAAAGAATGTTTAAGATATGACTTTCTTGTGTGTGTACAAGTAAAAACGAGAATGACCAAATAACACGAGTATCCTGTCTAAAGACTACCAAATTGATAGTTACATGCAATAACTTCATGTTTGAAAACTGACACTAACTATCTTAAAGTCGGGTCTAAAATAGAGTCATAAAACCGAGTCTAAAATTTCAAATTCGGATTTCCTAAATACAACCATTAACCCCTCTGTTTCAGTCTTTGGGTGTTCCTACATCTTTTTTAGCTATATTATTAAACATATTCCACATTTCTTGAAATTTAAGATGTACAATACCTACTACGTCAGGTGCAACTTATTATTGCAATATTACAATTACTCACAAAAGCCCTAAATTAGTCGCCTTCATCTAGAAACTTCATGTTACGCCGTCTTCCACGTTGGTGGCGCGGCGATCCTCCTCTCAAACCGTCCCTCCGATCATCACAATTGCAAATACAAACTCCTCCACACCGTACACACCAACATATCAAGTTCCGACCTTTCGTACAACTGCATCTTTCTGGAAGAAAATGAAGTCGGGATAAGAGGCGTCACCATTACTGAAGACCTTTTCAAAATCGCATCCACTGTCATCAGATCGAACGTAACTACGCTCCATAAGCGAATCCTTCCGTTACAGAAAACTGTAGGGCTTGATGAGACCGCCATGAAACCTTCTAGAATGACGCTGTACAGGTTCGGCAACACCTCGGTCGTTATCGACATTTACCTGGTAAGTTTTTCCAATCTTTTTTCTTTTTGACCTAATTCTCACATCATCTCGACCAATCTTTTCTGATTTATCTCGCATTCTCCTATTTGTTTTCTTTAAGATAATGAATTGGAGCTTCTTACATCTACTTACCACAAGAAGATGAAAAACGAGAATGTGTGTTCTAAAAACCCTGCATTTTCTTTCGATGATGGTCTTTTATGTGATGAGCAAGAAAACGATTTGGATTTTAGATGTGGGTTTGGGTTTGGTTTATTTTAACAAGAAATTCAAATCGTGAAACAAAAAGATCATCTTTTTACCCATTTTGAACATGATCTGTTGTGGGAAGAAGACGAGCTTCCTTCCCTTTTGTCTAAAGAGAAAAATATTGTTTCAGAAGAAGGGGATTTGTTCAGTGATTGGGTTTTAATAGGTTTAAGGAAAGAATCTGTCGATTGGATGATTAGGGTTAGTACCCATTACGGATTTGTTGCTATGACAACCATTTTGGCTGTTAATTACTTCGATAGATTCCTATTGAGCGATTCTTTCCAGAAAGATAAGTTGTGGATGAATCAGTTAGCTGCAGTCGCTTGCCTTTCTTTAGCTTATAAAGTTGAAGAAATCCATACCCATCTTCTCTTGGACCTGCAAGTACGTATCCGTATCCATATCCATGTCCATATCCATCACATTTAATATATACGAATGCATTCCAACTGTTTGTGAAAATGCCAATGTTATTATTTTGTTATTAACACATCTCTTTCTTTTGTGGGTTGTTTTCATTTAGGTCGAAGGATCAAAATACGTATTCGAATCCAAGACTACAATGAAAATGGAGCTTTTAGTGCTTTCGTGTCTTCAATGGAAGATGAAACCAGTAACCCCACTTGCAATATTCGATTACACAATGAGGAGGCTTGGTTTAATTACTCATCGTCTTCATTCAGAGTTCATGAACAGATGCGAAAGAATTGCTCTTGCTGTCGTCAATGGTAACCTTCTAAAAACCCTTCATAAACTCAGTCATATTGTCATGAATCAAAGAATTGTTTTGATTTTGATTTAATTCAAATCAAGTATTTGATATAAACATGAAATGCAGATTCAAGGTCTCTGGTTTAAAGTGATTGATCCTGATAACTCACTGGATTATCAAGAACGAGTCAAAGGTTTTCTTGAAATTAACGAGGTTTGTTCTTTTCATTATTATATTCCTTTTTTTATTTTATTTAAAAAGGCAGAGGTTAGTTTGACTAATTGTGAACAAGCTCCTTGATAACAAGGTCAATTGTATGACCAGTTGTTTAGATCATTATGTATTAGTATTACCATTTCTATTCTTCACTGCAGGGGTAAGAAGGTCATTTATGTGAGTAAAATTTTTTAGGGTGAGGGAAAGCAAAAACATGTTGGCAGGATTGTGGAGTTTTTCAAAACAACGGATGATAAAAATTACTTTAGAGTGCAGTGGTTTTTCAGAGCTGAAGATACGGTTAGTTTCTGCAACCTTTTCTATTTGTGTATTTATTAGAATTTGATATTCAACTCTTTTTTCTTTTCCTTTTTCCTTCCAACTTATTATCACTCAGGTTATGAAAAAAGTTGCTGCTATTCTAGATAAGAAGCATTTATTCTCCTCCACTTTAATGAATGACAACTTATTAGGTTGTATACTTTCTAAAGTCAAAATAATAGAAAAAGCTCCTGGGGTATGTTCTTTTTTTACCTTTATCTTTCATATATAATGCTACCATCGTTTTCATCTCTTATATTGTTGGTGTCATGGGTCTTCCTTCCATATCTGTATATGCAGCCTCTAAAGCTATTTTATTAAACTATAAATAGGTTTTCAAAATAAAAGATGATCTAACTATCATTCCCTTTATGGCATGATTCATGCACGTGCTCTTAAGTTTTCATCAATTAACCACGAACTTGGCATGTGAGTCTTCATCTTTTGTCCTCTAATTATTGAAATTATATAATTGGTTGCAATTTGATATGGTTTAGTCCTTTTCTGTTGAAGAACCATAGAGGATGGATGATCTGCTACAAAAGTAAGCATAAAGGTCAAAGTGGTCTTTTTTATGGGATATGTCGAACTATCAGGTTTGTGTACATTAGCAACAAGAACTGTGAGTATGGTTGGTACAAGAAAAGAAAGGAATGGTTTGATATTTGTAAGGAATAGTGCAATAAAATTATAAATTTATAATACATTATTTTGATTGTTTTATTGATATTGATGACATTTACGAAAATAAGATAAAAGGGCAATATGGTCTTTCTCTGATCATTGTCAACTGTCAAGTTGGTGTGGTGCTTTGAATGTGTGGTGCGAAAATAAGAACAAATGGCATTATTGTCTTTTTTTTTGGCTATTGTCAATTGGGAACCTCTCGGAGAAAACGCTTACTGAACAGCTTGCTGGTTGCATGTATAATTTTGGTTAATTATCTTATAATTTCATTCATATTTTTAACATCTTAATTGAATGGTTACAAATATTTATGTCCAACCTGTGAAATTCATAACATTCAAATTTTTATAGTTAAATATTGTTTCCAAATTTGCTAATTTTGTTCTTTGTAAAATCTATACAACTTTTTAAAGGGTATGTTTGGTATTTATATACTTTTATCAAACTCTAAATTAATTTCCATTGATTGATAGTTGAGTTGGTGTGTGTGTGCAGGTAGATCAATAGGACGAGAAAAGGAAGAATGCCACCTTCTTATGCCCTCTATAATAACCCACATGACAAAAACATGAAGTTGAACCGTTGGAAATGTATATATATTACCTAAAAGTATATTTACTATTTTTTAGTGTTTTATTTCGACTAAATGTTTCCAGGTAAAGAAACTTTTTAGGCTCTGTTGCAATTTTCTTTGTCTTTATTGGAGAAGCTTGTGGATTTGAATGACGTTGCTTTTAATGTTCATGTGTTTTTTCTTACAACGAATAAGTAATGAAGATCATCTTTGTTTAGGTGTTTAATTTTTTTTTTTTTTTTTTTTGCATACAATATTTCAGTTGTGAAGCTAATTAGAGGCTTAAAGCATGGCACCAGAGTTATTGTTCCATTTTGCACTAGAGTTGAATGTAAATTGCATGGGTGACTAATGCTACAACTATGAAGTGGAGGATGGAGATCAAATTCGTTTTGTGAGCTTTAGCCTGTCACTCAACCAATTAATCAAGTTGTAAGTGTTGCCACACCAAATTACTGTACCATTTGGTAAGTTTTATTTTTGTTTGTGTTTACTGTATTGCGAATTGTTTCAATTGTGTTTTTATGAGATCATTATCCATTTATGCAGACTAGGTGGTCATTGTCATTGTAATACGGCTGCAACTTTTAATTGTATATAGTAGAGAAAAGTTTTTTTCAAGTCAAACTCTTGGCTTTCGGTATACGAAATTTATTCATTTTTATTTTGTTATAACGAATTACCGACCATTTCTATGTGTTACTATATAATTTGACATTAGATTGCTATTAATTTAATAGGAAAATTCATAACAATTTATATAAATTATGAAGCTAAAAGTTATTTTTTACCTCATAGTCAAATGGTAATGGTAAGATGATGGAATGGAATGTAGAATGCAGTTAAATATGAAGACCATATAGTTGTTCGATCTCAAACCTTATAATGGTATTCTAAATACTTAAAAGTTGTTCAATCTAATGAGGAACTAGGAAATGTAGCTAAGAACGTATCAAATAATGTTTGTGATTGATGAAAATGATAGAATTAGGGAGCTTTAATAATACCAGATTATGTAATCCTTATTCGCGACTGTTCAATAGGCGGGATTTAATGTAGTGATGGAGGAAAGATTGGGGTTCAGTTGTAATCTTAAAGAAAGCTTTTTAAATTGTGGGCCGGGAAGGAATAAAAACAGGAAAGTATGGTTTTTTTCTAGAAGAAACATATTTATCCTCAATGTAAAAAACAAACATATTTATCCTCAATGTTCAAAAACATTATTATGTTATTTTTTCTATATAGTAAAATCACTATATTTTGTAATTTTGGATAAATTAATGGAAAATCTCCAATAAAGTCTCAATATTTTGGGTCAGTTCATAGTTTAATACAAAATTATTATTATTATTACTTTATAAAAAATGACAAATTACTGATTAAAACTTCGGAAAAATTCTTTTTCTCCAGTTTCGCAGATTTATTCGGTATCCTGTCTTTTTTTTTTTTTAATTTGATCAAAATATTGGGACTTTCTAAAGCGTTATGTGGCATTATCCCGAAGGATATCACGTGCCAATACAAAAGTATTAGTGAATCCTGACGAACAATTCAAAAGAAGTGAAGTCTATACATCAAATGTGGTGTATAAAAAAGTGTTTTACGATTACTAATGTATAATCAATCATGTGTTCGTACACATTTTTAAACAACCCTAACTCATATTTTTTATTCTTTTTGATTTCGTATATGCTAGCATGATTCTTATAGATAATTGTTTAGATGTAGTAACCTATTTGCATAAAAGACCTAATCGCCTTTAGAAACCAATTTCTGAAAAATTATTTGTACCCGTCGCTTGGCACGGGTAAACGGCTAGTATAACCATATATACATCAATGACTTTTACCATCTCAAAATAGAAACATCATCAAATGCCAAATATCCTACAAACCGTTTTCGGTGTTGTATATAAGCATATAACGATATCACACTAATGTTTTTTTTACTCAACAGTCATTATGGAAAGTTGGAAAAGTTATAGGTTTTTATCATTTTAGATAGGGTAACCTTTAAACAAAAAAAATTACTTTAAAAACCTACAACTTTCCCAAAATTTCTATTTGGTATGCTTAACAGAAGTTAATCTGTAAACCGAATACCCAAGCAAAATAAAAAAGTATCGAAAAGGTTTTAGGTTGTAATTGGAAAAAGAAAATTAACCTTTTGGTTAAAACTGTAAAAATATAATATATTTAGATCTATTATAAAATCAACCATTATAAATATTGTTATTGTTTTTATTCAAATAATACACCAAGAATTTTGTTAATACTTTTATATATGTTACAAAAAAAAGTTAGTATTACGATATTTAATGTATTTTAAAGTTTATTGCTAGTTTTTGTTTTATTTGATTAATATAAAATAATATATAGGTTAGATATGTAGATAAGTAAAGTGACACTCGTCTATAAAAGTAAAGGATGAGCAAAATCAAAATCAAAATTTCAAAAACAGATAAAATTGAAATAAAAAACCAAAATCAAACCAAATAGATATTGAAAAACCAAAATTAAACCGTTGATTTCGGGTTTTGTTATTTAAAATCGAAAAATCCGGTTTGGGTTCAGTTTGGACTTCTGTAAATGATCCACAAAACAAAAACCGACCAAATATGTAGAACCGAATCGTTAACCGACTCAAGGAACTGAAACCTTCCTATACATTATATAATTTATTTAATACATATACTATATTATTAATAAGTATTGTATTATTTAGTTAGAATTAGAAGCATATAGTTAGTGCTTAAGGCGTGAGTTTGTATATTTAATACTCCCTCCGTCCCAATATTATTGTCCACAGACAAAAAACACACATATTAAGAAAAACATTAATTACCACTAACTTTATTTAATAAAATGACAGTTTTGTCCTTACTTTGCATTTAATGTTCCATTAAATGTTTAGTTGGTTAAGTAATAATGAGGGGGTATTTTGGTAAAAATGTTATTTATTTTTAGAAGTGGACAATTATTTTGGGACAAACCAAAAAGGAAAGATGGACTATAATTTTAGGACGGAGGGAGTATATTATAAATAATTATTTATAGCAACTTACTGAGTTGAAACAAAAAAACTAAAACCCATGTATTGAAACTAAAAAACTGAAACCCATCAACCCAGTTGTTGAAACTTAAAAACCGATCTAGGAAACCGAGTTTATGTATTCCTAACATTACATGTTTATGGAATTTCTAAAAGCATTAGTGATTTTTTTGTTTTTTAGAAAAACATAAATCAATAACTAGAAATTTTTCTTTATGTTTGGTTAATTCGTAACTTACTCTGTGAAGATGCACAGTTCTTCCTTGTGTAGTTGATGAAGGTAGTTGACGTGAGTATTTGCAAGCTTTGATAGTGAATCATATGTGGACCATTCTTTTTCATAGTTGGAGAAATATAACCTTGCTTCTACAATATGCATCCCTCGATGAAAATAACTCCTCAACGCATGTCTCACCTCTCGTGCAAGATTACCTTCAAGAGTGTCTACAACATCTACAAGCTGAGCTTCTGTGAAGACGAATGCTTCATCTAAAATAGATTCTCCTCTTATTCTCAATTGTGTAGATTCATAAAAACTTAACATGCCCCTCACATCAGCTCTAATATATTCCTTGAATTTACGTGAGCTATGGTCTTTGAACTTGTTAAACACATCTGTGCAATCATATATAGCAAACAGTTTTAACAAGAACAAATCAAACAATATTGTTTAAAATCGTGTTGAACATATCACTAGAAGTAGCATATACCACAAGACAATTTATAACCATGTTGTCTGAAAACTTCAAAGTTGGTCAAAATTGTATAAAGATCAGCTTGATCATAATCCACTACTAGAAAAAGGCTTTTCTTGACAGACGAACTACGACATACAGCAGTTCTATGACAGGCATAAAAGTCTGTCATAAACTTTATGTCATATATTGTAAAATTTCAATGATTCACGACAGACAGAAATGTTTGTCATTATTTATGTCGTATTTTAAAGAGTAAATTAAATTGCTATTTATCCTTTAATATTACAAGAAAAAGTTAAAATTAAAAGGATACATAATGTAACTTAATAGAAAAATGTTTTTGAAAATTAAAATTCAATCCAAAGAAATCTAGAAATAATTAAAATTTTTAAGATAATATAGAATAATTTATTATATAGATATTATCTTAGATGGATATATAATTTTAATACAGGGTATTTTTGATAAGGTTTGATAGAAGCTATATAGCCGTTATTTGTTAAAAGATGCAAGGAAGAAAAAAAAGTTGTACATTTTAATTATAGTTGTCGGTGACTATCTTGACTATGTAAGGAGAATGCTACGAGTGCCATCCTATGGATAAAATGACTCTATTTAAAATATGTAAAACGAAAAAAGGTACTATCAAAATGGAGGATGGTCCATAAGTTGTCTAAATTATATTGAAATCCTTTAATATATATCCAACACAGTCAACTAAATAAAAAGTTACAATTTTTTACGTCGAACCTATATTGATCCATTACTTAACTCTTTTAACAATGCACAAAGAAATGTTCCAAAAAAAAGATATGACTTATAAAATAAAGGACTAAACTTGGGTCACGATGAAATTCACGTTTGCAACTCATATTTCCATATATCTTCCTTTGAAGAATATATCATATCTCAAGGGACTGAAAAGGGAATAAAAGAGAAATAAAAGGGTAGTATCGTACATTGTAAGATTGGTGGGGCTTCTTATTGTAACAATTCACTGGAAGGCTCAGACACGGTGATGCCCTCACCATTTCCATCAAAATCACCTCACCATTTCCATCAAATCAAAGAAAGCATCGATCGATTAGGGTTGCCCCGCTCAAGAAATCAACTCGTTGCCTTTCTATTTCCATCCTCGTTCACCACTCGCCGACTTTCCACTACCCCACCGGTCACGCCATTGTCATTCCTTCCACCGATTCGTGAATCACAAAGGCTTTTGCTTTACAGTTTGAGTAAGAATCGTAAGCAATGGAGGTCGTCGTACCTATTGTTGATGACGGGAAGGCTCGCAGCGATATCTTGCTTTTTAACCGCTGGACCTACGATGACGTTCAGGTTATCTTCTTAACCGATTAATCCAAATTCACCGGTATCAGTAGATGTTTGTTTGTGTAAAGTGTTTCAGTATCCGTGCTTCCTGTTAATTTCTTCAATGGTTGTGTGAAATTAAGCTCAATGTATTGTGATTCTAGCTCATGAACATCAATCTTGATCTGGTTGATTTAGAATAATATGCGAATTCTGTAAACAGGTTCCTGATCTTTCTGTACTGCTACTGCATCAAAGCACCCAATCTACATGCCTCACACAACTGGAAGGTACCAAGCAAGGAGGTTCAGGAAGGCTCAATGCCCAATTGTGGAGCGATTAACCAACTCTCTCATGATGCGTGGAAGAAACAATGATAAAAAGCTCGTGGTTGTTCGCATATTCAAACAAGCAATGAAAATCATCTATCTGTTAACCGATGTTAATCCCATTCAAATCATCGTAGATGCTGTCATCAACAGGTACACAATCAATCACCTTCTACAGTTTCACTCTACTTCTTTTCAACCATCCTTACATTTCCAGTAGTATCTCGGCCTGTGATGAAGCAATGGATAATTTTTCATCTCTGATTACTCAGAAAACTCATGTTGATATGAGTAATAACAGAGCTAGATTGGAGATACTCCTTAATTTCGTTAATATGGATATTAGTTACTACTAACACATACTTCGTTTTGGAATATGCAATTAGTGTTTTTACTTATTAGCTTTCCTGATTTAATGCAACCTGATATTTGACATTTCTTACAGATTATGGATTTGGAGTAGTCAATTCAAAGGTGAAGATAATCCATGTGACTGGAGTAAGTGACATGGATCCTTAGTTCCTTACAAATGGTCTAAATCAAAATGGAGATGCATAATGGTACTTCACATGTCAACCTCATAACTAGTTTTATTATTTTATACTTTCATTCTTTAAATTTCAAACCCATTTCAACAGGTGAGGTGGGATGAAGATGTTGGCAACAACAATCATGAATGAATCTCTCAATGAGAGATTGATCTTTCGGGTGTATCTGTCCCACTTTTAAGCATTCATCCTTCTCTAAGATTCAAAAAACTCTGGTCCTCTGCAACTGACACAGGTCCTCTGCAACATTAAAACCAATATTAAAATTAGTGTAAACTGTTTTAATCATATTTATTATACTATTTGAAGAAGTAGGTTTTTGCAACTGACACAGGTCCTCTGCAATATTCAAGTCTTTACAAAAGTGATGCCTTCTCTTTTTGCTCCAAATTTTGAAGACCTCTTTATAAACACTTCCATATGCATATCAAGTCAAATGTCTAAAACTTGAGATCCTTTCTTCCATTGCTACAGATGAATCAATCTCAGTTATCTTTCAAGAATTGCAGGTAGTTTTATTAATATATTTAAAAAAAAGATTGGATTGAATATAATTTGGGATCCAAAACCATCGAGTTATGTTTGAATATTCTATAGTGCATTGGAAATCTCAATTCTCACACTCCATTTTTGCCTTAATAGTTTCATATCCGGCTCCATAATCCCTTATTTCTTCTTCTCCCTCTTAATTCTCAGCGCAGAAAAGAAAATAGTACTTGTTTGGTGGCACTGGGAACAGATGATGGTGAAGTCTTCACCATTAATGCCACTTCTGCAGAGTTAAAATGGAAATCTTATGGACATCATCATAGGTATTCTAGGAAAAATAATAAGATGATATGATCATAAATTTTCTGATTATTGATGGTTAAAATAACCAAATTTGGAGTAATACCTGAAGCTTAGAACTTTTCCATGTGCAGTAGAATTGCTGCTCTTTCTTTTGCAAACAAAGGGTGTAAACTTTGTGCTATAAGTACAGATGGAACAACATGCGAAATGAACTCTGAAACTGGTGAAATGTTAAAACAAATGAAAATCTCAAATAAACTTATCTCTTCATCTGTATATATTTTTCTGGCGAGTCTTCCCAACACATGGTCCTTAAATTGTCTTAACCTTTTTCTTCTAACGTTTGTTTTCTTGTAATGATAGATGATAAAATATTAGCTGCATCAAATACCAAGATCAGAGTTCTCACCTTAGATGATGGAGAAGAACTACTTAAGTTTTCCACAGATGCTGTATGTTCCTACCTTTTGTATGCACATTTTTAAAGTGATTACTGCAGTTCTGATGATTTTTTTTTTTTTGACTTTTCTTTAGGGTCCTGTGAATCATATGTTTATGTTGGATGATACAAACACCATAATTACATATGTATTTGGTGACAAGAATCTGCATGTGTGGAAAAATGGATAAAGTCAACAACCATTAGCTGCAGGAGACTATGCATCGAGTACAATTATTCCAGCTTGTAAAGTTGTGATTGACATATCAAATGCTGCAAAAGATTTGATTTATTAAGAAGTTTCGGCTTTTTATCGAAATCCTGATAATACCCTTTACATGCTTCCATCAACCCCACAAGCAATGGTGGAGGAAATGGGTGGCTCTACTGGACCTGATGCTGTCATTGCTGCAAAAAGAATGTTGCCCTTTTGACTGCCCGAGCTGGTGCCCGAGACCCCTCTGCTATTCCTTCTATTTGTCGTGTTTCTGCTGCCCTTCAATATCCTGCAGGGGTGTGTGTGTGTGTGTGTGTGTTTGTGTGTGTTAGAGTGATGTGAAATTACTAAAATACCCTTGGTTAATTTTAGGGTTGGAAGGTTCAGATGTCGGCTTAGCATGGTGTTGGAAGCTATGGAATTCTGTTTGAAGTTGCGGGGTTCAGAAGCCTGTGTTTTGGAGGACTTAGCCAAAGCTATCAATCTGGTGCATATCAGGAGGGATCTTGTGGAAAGTGGTCACGCGTTGCTAAACCATACTTATCACAATCTACAAGAATACGAAAGGTATGAGGGTGGAACTGGAATATGTGATTCCGACGGAATTGGAATATGTGATTCCATTCCAATGCCAAATAAACGGAGTTTAATTCTATCTGAAGGTGGAACCAGAATCAGTGATTCTGATGGAATCGGAATCTGTGATTATGTTGGAATCAGAATCTATGATTCCATTCCACTGCCAAATCAACGGAATTTAATTATATCTGAAGGTGGAACTAGAATCAGCGATTACGACAGAATTGGAATCAGTGATTCCGACGGAACCAAAACCTTACAAAATTCAAATGAAAACCAAAATTGCAAGAGAACCTTTTGACATTATGGTTAGTGTAATGGAATGTATTTTTGTATATGTATGATATCTTATTTTGCATTATTAGACATTAAATGTGTAATTTAGTTTGTTTAATATCTGGTACAAATTAAGAATATATATATATATATATATATATATATATATATATATATATATAGCGCCATGACATACAAAATGTTGTAAAACTATGTCAAAAATCATGTCGTATAGAATGTCATAAATGTTTGTCATAATTGCAAGAATGTTACAAATTACGACATACAAAGCCAATCGTAAATGTATGTCGAAAACGTGTGTCGTGTATGTATGTCGTAATTGTGGGTCATAAATGTCTGTCGTAAAATTTATGACAGGCCAAAATTTGTCATAATTGCAAGAATGTTACAAATTACGACATACAAAGCCAATCGTAAATGTATGTCGAAAATGTGTGTCGTGTATGTATGTCGTAATTGTGGGTCATAAATGTCTGTCGTAAAATTTATGACAGGCCAAATGCCTGTCATTATCCTTTATGACATGGCTGTCAATGACAGACATTTGTCTGTCATGTATAGGCATTTACGACAGACAATGTCTGTCAAGGAAAGCCTTTTTTCTAGTAGTGATCTTCCATGTTCAGCTCCTTGAAAAGTTTGTCAAGTTGACATTCAATCTCTTCCCGAAACATATATCTCAAGCCAAGACGGTAGACAGAATTGATCAAACATAATTTCGCATTTGAATCCATGTTTACATTAATTATCAATCTTCTCAGCTCTTCTTTTGGTTCGTCAATGGCTTTAGCGTATGCTTCCAACTCCTAGAAAAGGAAACCAAACGCAGTCAATTTTAATGAAAAGATACAATAAAAACCCCTTCTTACATGAGGGCATGCATGGTTTGAGTCCGAAATTAATGGGAAATACTCTTACCAAATAGTCAACAGTTAATGACAATAAACGATCATCCCAGATAGGAGGAGGGAAGTTGGCAACAGGACGCACTGGATCTGTGTTAGTTTTCCTGTTTTCCTTTAGGGTAGTATTAGATTCGTTTGGAGTCATTTCATGAAGGTGTTGATATAGTTATGGTTGAACTTGTATGAATCATGACTGTAATCCTATGGGTATTTATAGACTATAACGCCATTGGATTGGTTGAATATCTGAATAACCAAAAACAAACAGAGATTGTGTTTATGACTTTTCAATTTGGTACCACAAAAAGTTATGTGTGGTGGGCCTTTTCCTATGTTCGATAGATACCTAGTTTTGATCATATTCACTTTATCTTTTATAATTTAAAGTTATCATGTTTCTTGTTTTTTCCACGTCATTAGCATTTTGTCAAGGATAAAACCCTTAAAGAATCAGAGTTTTTTGCAAAACTAGGACTGTTTAAATAAAGCTTTAATGTAAAAAGAGGGTTGTTTGAAATTGGTTTGTAAGAATAGGGTTGTTTGAGAAATTGGGCCCCATTTACCACAAAACTGATTTTCAATTTTACAAATGTAGCCCTTTAATTTTCTATATCTAACAATTTATCATCTAATAATATTATGTTTAACTTATTCATTGAATCACGTCTGTACAATTAATTGACTTTCTATATGTCGTATCATTAAAACGGTGATAATTCTTTAAAGGAAAATGTAATAGAAAAAATATTATATAAATTACATTTTATTAACTTTTAAACCTGACATTAAAATGAAGGATTTATATGAACTAATTATTTTTTTAAATAGTTTAATTTATCACAAAATAGTCGTAATTAATATTCCATTAAATCAGTTACAAACTAATATTACATTAAATGTATCAGTTTTAGTTATATACTTATATTTTATATAATTAAACAAATATACTCGCATCAAATTTGTTATATACAACAACATAAAAGTTATCGTAATTTTTGAATTGTGTTTATACAAAACATTAATGCAAAATTAAGTAATTTGAGTAATATCATATCTGTGGTCTATAGATTTAATTATATATTAGGCGAATATGTGCGCCTTGTGTTACGCCCATCGAAAATATTTGACACCCGATTAATTAACCAGACTGACCCATTGAAAACATGTTGTTTCTAACAAGGAGGAGGTCTTTGGTTAGACCTAAGCGTATACCAACTCGCCGTCCTAAAAAAAATAAGAAAAAAAAGAAACCAGAAAGGCCTGTTTTCAATTTAAGTAGATTGAGTTGGGTATATCGTGTTTGAAGATTTGGGTAATTGGGTAACCCGCTAATTAATTAAGTTGAATATAAGGTAAACATAAATTTTTTTTGGATATACCCAAATACCCAATTTTAGTTTCTTTATTTAACATTTTCAACCTAGCCATATTATAATATTAGGTTACAAATTCATGTAATTTGCCAATTGAAAACAACCCAATTGGTAGAGGCATAGCCTCTTAGTTTGAGAGAATGAGGATGTCAGGGTTCGTTCTTTGATACTAGCAAGAATTGGAGTATTAACACTAACATCGAACAAGTTAAGTTGTCGTTAAAAAAAAAAGACAAATTCATGTAATTTCATAAGCTCAAATAATTATTCAACTTTAAAATGACTTTATGTATGTCTAAAAAAAATTAAATCATGGCATGATAATGCTATTTTTGTGATGGAACACAATCATTTTGGTAAATTATATACATATTTTAAATACCTCTGCAAAGTGGATTCTCTTTAATTTTTTATGCTCAAATCATTGTTTAAATATTCTTAAATTTATTGTTTAAATCTCAAATTTGTTAGGCTTAAAATCTTTTTTAGATTTTGGATTAAAGTTTTGAAAATCTAAGTAATCCAATGAACATTATAATATAAAATGATAACCTTTGCGAGTGACAATATCATCTTGGGTTAAAATAAATTTATAATTACATAAAGTAGTAGCAGATTTTAAAATGATCCCAGAAAACACTACAAGAAAAAAGGTTTTCCTTGACAGACAATGTCTGTCATAATGCCTATATATGACAGACAAATATCTGTCATTGAAAGCCATGTCATAAAATTAGGTCTGTCATAAAATTTACGACAAACTTTTATGACCAACAATTACTACATACATACACGACATATGTTTTCGACGTACATTTACGACTGACTTTGTTTGTCATAATTTATAACATTTTTGTATTTATGACAGACATTTACGACTTCAAATTACAACATATGTTTTGTACAATATGGTTTTTGACATATTTTTACGACATGCTTTGTATGTCATGGTTATATATATATATATATATATATATATATATATATATATATATATATATATATATATATATATATATATATATATATATATATATATATATTCTAAATTTCTACCAAATCTTAAATCAAACTAAATTACATATTTAATGTCTAATAGCACAAAATAAAATATTATACATATACAAAAAGGCTTACAAGAACTATAGTGTCAAATTCAAAAATACGGTCCAAATTCATCAAAAAGTAATTGTCAAATTCATATCACCGGTAAATAAAATTTATGACATAAGTAGCCCATTCTTCACGCACCCTATTAAGCTCGACGTCTGTATATTCATTCTTCCCCCAAAATTGAGACAAAAACTAATATATTAGCAAAAAACTATTAAATAATTATATATGTAAATATTCTACAACAATTCAAGTCCATCATGTAACTAATAGATTTACTTACATTGTTACTCTACACTTCAAGTCCTTCATCAACAACCGCTTTCATGAAGTTAAGAACATAATACTCGCATTCACGCTGAAAGGGACACTCTACAATTATATAATAAATTGATCAGTAAAATACCAGTACCTTTCCCTATATGTCAATACTTGTCTGTCAATATCTTCTGAAGCAACCATCTGCATGTGAATGTCAAGATCAATCATAAATCACATTAAATATATTATTAAAAACTAATCGGTTGACTAGTCAAACCTAAATTACATACTCTTGATTCAAGGTCATCAGAATGGCAGACTTGGTTGACTGCTTCGCACGCTCCAGCTGTACTTGGTTGACTGAAAGATTACATGTTAGTAACTTTGACTAAATGCAAGAAATAGCAACAGACTTTCTCTTATTTGTTTATTATAGAACAACTTTTGAAAAATATATCCAATTAAAACAATGAAAATATGATTTTTTTTTTTTTGTTTGTTTTCAACGCTGTAGTAGTAGGAAGAAATGAAAGTATGATATAATAAACAAATCACTGAAAGTAGGTTGCTATTTCTTAAAAAGTAATTCAACTGTGGCATATTATAGCTTACCTTCTCCGTTGGTGGCAACTGCAATGAGTTCTTTCACGGCTATATCAACAGCTTTGGATACAAAATCAGAACTCTGCATGGATTTTTTTTTTTTTTTTTAAAAAGGATTAAAGAATCACTTAAATAAAATAAGTGAAAGTTTATTGATGTCTTCTTACAGTGGTAGCTTGGATTCCAAATAAGGCAGTGTGATTATAGATAGAGTTGAATGTTGAAAACGATTGAATCTCAGGGTACTCATTCAAAACTCTAAGATCTGCTCACGATAATAATCCAAAAAAATAAATTAAAAATTAAAATTAGTATGTGAATTATGATAACTAATTTTAAACTTAATAAAAATAATATGAAAAAACAACTCACAGAGACGAGAGTACATTCCTTTTCTAGGACCACCAGCTGAAAAAGATCCACCTCCTCCCATTAGCATCTGTGAGTAGATAAAATCAGAAAATATTAATTCCCAATACTTATTGGTAAATAAATAAAAGGAATAAGAAAATTGGTTAATAAATATATTTAAAAAAAAAAAAAAAAAAAGGATACCTGAAGAACTGACAAGGTCATGGCTTCCTTCTCCTTAAGCTAGCCACCAGGAAGTTCAAATGCAAGAGCAAAACTAGTTCTCTGATGACAATTAACAAAAGGGTAATTTAGACTATAATTCATCAGGATGACAAAGGGTAATTTAGTCAATAAAAAGGATACACAATTTAATTTAAAGGACACACCCACCCCTGTATCAGCCATAACACGGTGATCACCACCAACATATACTGATTTCGGCTCCTGAACCTGAGCGCCACCTGGCAAATCAGAGAGAAGAGGCTCTGCATATTTCAACAGTTCCTCATGTTCAACTCCTGATGCAGCAAGTACCATTCGAGGAGCAGTATAGTTTGCCTAAAAATTTTCAAGCAACATTTTTATTTTCAGGAACAGAATCCACATGGAATAAATAGAAAGAATGAGAGTAATAGTAATACCAGATACTCTAGTTGCTAAATGCATAAAATAACAAAAAAAAAATATAAGGTGTGACTCACAGCTACAAAATCCTCCAAACTGTAGTGTTTATTCTATTGATTAAGCCTTCTGAAGCAAGAAGAGGATTCCCAAGTCCACCAGCATATCCAGCTGAATGAATAGCTTCGAACAACAACGCCTCAGGATTGTTGCCATACTCACCAATCTCAGCTTTCACTTTCTCAATCTGCAAACAAACAAAAAAAAAAAGGTAATGTAATGTTTTTAATTATCAAATATGCAAAAGACAACTTTCAAAAATATATATGACAAGAAATAAAGTGAAAAGGAAACAACTAAACAAGCACCTGTGCTTTGACCTCCCAATCCAAAAAAAGCTTGATTTCTTATAGAGTCATCAAGTAGCTCCACCATTTGAGGAACATAACTCCTCAAAGCATCATAAGAGTATAGATTATAGATTCAGATGAAATCCAGCAAAAGCAACTAATTGGCGTTTTGCTTCAGCTATAGAGTATAGATTCAGATGGAGATAATAAGATGATGATATAATAAAACCTTTTTCGAAAAAAATTAACCTGGAATCACTGTTAAGTTCGTGGCAATCCTTTTCAGATACAGTTCCAAGTAAAACTATGTATGCGACACAATGTAAAGCAACAACTTTATATTTGCATACCTGTGGCATGAAACTGAGTCCAAGACTCGTTGAGATAATCCAGAAGATGACCACTCCTACATTAGAATGAACAACAAAATAATAAAAATTGCACTATTGACTTTCAGCTATTCAACTTGAAAGAAAAAAACGTGAATTTGTACGTTTTGGAGTTTCTAAACCATATTAAGTCAGTTAAAAACCACAGTGGTCTTGAAATTAAAAAGCAACTTATTTCGAATCGAAGGTCAAAGTACAGGTCTTTCAGGGACAGACATATCCATCATCATATAGAAATGTAAATGTAAGGTTATGATTCTAGAGAGCAGACCTCGGGAGTCGAGCTCGAATTGGCGCAGAGTGAGAGGGTGTTTGGCTTTGCTTTTAAAATGACTTTTGGACTTTTGGCTTTTCCAAAAAGTCAAAAGTTTAAAAAGTTGTTTGGTAATTGGAAAAGATCTTTTAAATTAGCTTTTTGAGAAGAAGAAAAATGAGGCTTTTAAAAAGTCACGAATCTGTGACTTTTGACAACTTTTTCCTTTTTTCCCTTTCCCCCCTCAAAAGTTTAAACAAACACATTTTAAAACTATCTTTTGAAAAAAGATATGAATCAAAAAGTTCTTTTCTAAAAAGGACTTTTTGGTCTAAAAAGTTATCCCAAACACCCCTGATGGAGTGAGATGAAGCTTGCGTATACGAGTGTTGTTTCGAAAGAAACTAGGGTTACAATAGAACGGTGGCAAAGAAGATTGATGAGGGAATTTCGACGAGATTACAGTAGGTTTCAAAACTGAAGACGACTGTTGGAGGATATGGAATCGAGCGATGGCTGCCATTGATGAACGATTCCATGAAGTCTCCGAGTTCCTCGAGGAATTTACATGGCTGCCATTGATGAACAATTATATGAGATTTTGAGCACCTATCATGTTCTATTATCCATTATCGTAAATGTATGAACCAAATAGCACATAAAGCCATCTGACGGAGCCATCTGATGGAGGCGGCAATGACGCCATCGTCCGGCTTTGCTGACTAACGGAACGATTTACATTAATCCGCTCTTTCACCTCTTTCTTGAACTAACGGGGCATCACTTCGTCTGTTGATTCTGCATTCGAGTTGAACAAAGCTTTATAAGAAGGTTTCGAGATGAGATTTGTATAGCTGCGTGAAAGATCAGCGAAAACCCTAACGATCTTAGAGTTCTCGAGCTTGATCTTTCTAGCATATGCATCATAAGCGGATTAAGAATTATTGATTGGTAGTCGTTGTTGATCGTTGACGGAGGTAGAGGTGTTCGATTGAGGGAGGATCAATGAAAGTGGTGGGCGTTGGAGGCGAAGGCGGAGGGAGTGGTCGATGGAGTTAGGGAGGAGGTGGATGGAGTCGGTGAAGAATCGGAAGAAGGGAACGACCGATAGAAAGAAGGGTTATTTTCATAAAAGACCTAAAACTTTCATAGAATTTCTATTTAAACCAAAAATTTATTTGTTTTGCCAATTTAACCCAACATTTTCCCTAAGTTTTCTATTCCCCCAATTTGCAGGTTTCCAAGGTGTTGTTTGTTTTTTCAAAAAACCCTCTTCAAACCACTTTCTGCTGCGCGGCGCAGCACACGCGCAACACTTTCCCTCTCGCAGCAGTTTGTTATTTGGAAGACTTCAGACTCCAAAACCTCTGCGCGTGTGCTGCGTGGCGCAGCACTTGACTTGCCTCTTCAAACCTCTTCAACTTTATTTTTTTGAAGTATTTATTTTAGAATTTTGGTATAAATTTTTTGAACTTTTATTTTTTTTTAAAACTTAGATTTTTTAAACTTTTATTTACGGATTTGATACAATTTCTTATTATAGTTTCTACAAATTTTTTTTAACTTGATTTTTAAAAAAAAAAAACCTTTAATTTTTTTAAATTTTTTTACCGTTTCTGTTAATAATATTTTCACTTTCAATTTCATCTTTTTTAACGTGTGTAATTTTTTACGAACTTTGTAGACATCGTCTGTAATTCTTTCTTAATTTTTTTTTTATTTTTTATGTTTTTTAAAATTAGTTTTTTTCTAGAATAAAGTTGTTAGCTTCTTTTATATTTTTGTAAGTTTTTTTTTTAAAGTTTTGTATTTTTTTCTTTTTTTACATGTTATTTTTAGTATTTTTTTCAATGTTTTAAGACTAGAATTATTTAAATTTCGGTGTTGAAAACTATTTTCAGTTTATAAAATTAGTTTATTTAAACTTCAGTTTACTGCAGCAGTCTGCAGATATTAAAAAACAAACATGTTTCTTATTATGAGCTGCAGACGTTTGTTCCACATCTTCTGCTACAGAGGATTGCAGAGGTGGTCCGCAGACTTCACGAATTTTTGCTTCAAAAAAACAAACAGCACCCAAGTCACCTTCAGGTAATATGGAAGTTTTTTTTTTTAATAAAGACCCTATATTTTCCCAACTTTTCCCCAAAAACCAAAATGATTCAAAATCATTTTTCTTGGCATGGTATCGTTATATGACTTTATATACACCAAAACAATTTATATGATGTTTGATATGTAGAAAATTTGGTGTTAAAATGATGTAATAAGTTGGAGATTAACCATTCTTTATACCAAAAGTACATTATTTTGATAAAAAATGATATAACAATATACACTCATCTTTCCGATTTAACATATAGTATACCAACAAATATCACAGTAACAATAAGCAACTTCACGTGTATTACTAGTTCTAGCTCAAGCTTCTGCTAGTAATTCCATCATTGCTAACATAATCTACCGATTAGAAAATATATTATTTGTAGGTTAGCAAACAAAAATAATGCTAACCTTCCGATTAGAAAGGTCATTCTTCTGGTTTTTTTAGGGTTTTCACCAAAATATAATTTTTTTTACCAAACACTCTTCTTTTTTTTTTTCCTCACACCAAAGTGGAGCTTTTTCAAATTAGTTCGATTGTTCGGGTTTTTTCCACCTACTTTGTAATTAGTTTTTTTTTGCACTAATTTAGTGTTTTATTGGTTTTAATATTTAACTCACATCCTTTAAACCTGCTTTAATTTTTTTTCATACTATATAGTGCTCATGTACTTGTCGACATAGCATTATTGTATTATTGTTTACGATTACTAGCTTTTTCTTATAGTATTAACGGATAAAAATCATTTTAATTTACTCTTTAAAATACGACATCAAATTACGACATACATTTTTGTCTGTCGTAATTCATTGATATTTTACGATATATGACATAAATTTTATGACAGACTTTTATGCCTGTCATAAACGTTCTGTATGTCGTAATTCGTCTGTCAAGAAAATCCTTTTTTCTAGTAGTGAAATTACATTTTTTACCTTTATTTTGTTCAATTTATCTATAATAAATCACGATGAACAGTATTTTAAACAAAAAAGTGTATAAGTAATGCAATCATGTGATTAAAACTTAAATGCTTAAAATGGTAGTATATGTAAATGGCCGTTTGTTTTTTGGAAAAAAGAAATATAAATAAAAAAACATATATATAGTTTAATAGAAGAAATCAAAAGTTCAAGGTTATATATAAAAATTTCAAAATCAGCTTTGTATTTTGTGGGACCTAAATCTTTAAAAACCCTATTCTTACGAACCAATTTAAAAACACCCAATTACTACAAAGCTTTTCATAAACAGCACTAGTTTTGCAAAAAAACTCCAAAGAATCATGTGTATATATCTATTATAAACGAGCCATTTTGAGTTAGAAATTGCATTCCAAAAGGAAATATATGTAACAATTGGTTATTATGAACTAAAAAAAATTTAGAGCAAATAAAAAAAAGTGAATGTAACATTCTAAAAATTACAATTTCAGTCCATTTTTTGACTTCATTATGTGAAAAAAATACATGCATTGTAATTTATTGTGAGTTTGATCCCTCTAACTAAACTCCAGACCTTCTCACACAACCATATATCCATGACCTTTACTATCTCAAAATGAAACATCATCACATACCAAACTATTCTACAAACTTTTTTTCTATGTTATATATAACTATGTAACGATACCATGCTAAAAAAATGTTTTTTGAACCCATCGATTGGTCATTCGAGAAAGTTGAAAAAATTATAAGGTTCTATAAAATATCGATAAGTTTGACGATTTTCCCCTTTAATCCAAAACCTTTTTTGCTACAAAATAAAACCTACAACTTTCAAAAAAAGTATATATATTTTATTATATTTAATAAAAGTTAACTTGCAAAACGAATAATCGAGCGAATTTAACAAAAAAAATAATAAATCAAAAGGAGCTTGTAATTGAAATTTTTTTTGGATTAAACTTAAAAAACATGAAAGTTTTGAATCTTTAGTGAAATAAGCCCTTAAAAATATTGGTATTTTTTACAAATAATACACAAAAAGTTTGACTACTATTTTTAAAATGATAAAAAAAAATAGCATTATTATATTTTATGTATTTTAATGCTTATCCAAATATAACAAGATATTTTTTTGTCTTATTAATTAATATAAAATAATATATAAGTTAGGTATGTACATACGTAAAGTGGCACTCATGTATAAACTTTTATATTTGTTAATGAAGTGTGAAAATAAATAAATTGACACTCATATATAAACCTATATATTAATTTGTTAATGGAGTGTGACGATGAGTTTATGTATTCCAAACACATGTTTAATTATAGACCTTTTTTAAAGCATTAGTGATATAAACCTATATATTAATTTGTTAATGGAGTGTGACGATGAGTTTATGTATTCCAAGCACATGTTTAATTATAGACCTTTTTTAAAGCATTAGTGATTTTTTAGTTTATTATTTGAAAAAGATAAATCAATAAACGTACTTTGTGAAAATGCACGGTTCTTCCTTGTGCAGTTAATTGGTAAGGTAGTTGAAGTGAGCACTTGCAAGCTTTAATAATGAGTCATATGTAGAATATTCTTCTTCATAGTTGGAGAATATAACCTTGTTTCTACCATATGCATACCTCAATGAGAAGGACTGCTCAACGCATGTCTCACCTGCCGTGCAAGATTACTTTCTAGAGTGTCTACTACATCTACAAGCTGAGTTTCTATGAAGATGAAGGCTTCATCTAAAATAGATTCTCCTCTTATTCTCAGTTGTGTAGATTCAGAAAAACTTAACATGCCCCTCAGATCAGCTGTAATATATTCCTTGAATTTACCTGAGCTATCTTTGAACTTGTTAAACACATCAGTGCAATAACATATAGCAAACAATTTTAACAAGAAGACATCAAACTTTGTTTTAAATCATGCTGAACACGTCACTAGAAGTGGTATACCACAAGACAATTTATAACCATCTTGTCAGAAAACTTAGATGTTGATCGAAGTTGTGTAAAAGCTTGATCATAATCTTCCATGTTCAGCTCCTTGAAAAGTTTGTCAAGTTGACATTCAATCACTTCCCGAAACATATATCTAAGGCCAAGAGGGTACACATAATTGATCAAACATAATTTCGCATTTGAATCCATGTTTAGACTAATTATCAATCTTCTCAGCTCTTCATTTGGCTCGTCAATGGCTTTTGCATATGCTTCGAACTCCTAGAAAAGGAAACGTCAACGTAATCGATTTTAACGAAAAGACAATGTTTTAAAACCGTGTTTTTTAGTTGAACCAGTATAATACATATATACATATATAAATAAAAAATTTGACGTCCACAAGTTCAAACATTAAAAATACATATAAAAACAAGTTAGATCAATCCAAATACATTAAAATAACGAATAACCATAATTTTTATATCAATTCATATACATAAAAAAGAAAATAAAATATAATTAATACAAAAACAAAATATAGTTTTAGATGAATACAAACGCATCAAAAAAATCATACGTTTTTATTTAGAGAAATCTAAGTAGATGTGAAAATACTACCAAAGTTTAATATGCAAAATGTTTTTTTTTTCATTTTTTTTATTCAATTTAATTAGTTTAACAGGTTTATTTTAACCGGTTCAACCGGATTTTTATAAAAATCAGTCGTTCGTTCCGGTTAAGAAATTAGCATAAAACGGATGATATATGAACCGCTCCTTTCTCTGAATCCCGATCCAACCGGTTCGACCGGACAGTTCAAACCTATTTTTAAAACATTGTGAAAAGATAGAATAACATCCCTTCTTACATGAGGGCATGCTTGGTTTGAGTCCGTAATTAATGGGAAGTATTCTTACCGAATAGTCAATAGTTAATGACAATAAACGATCATCCCACATAGGAGGAGGGAAGTTGGCAACAGGACACACCGGATATGTGCTAGTTTTGCTGTTTTCTTTCAGAATAGTGTTAGATTCATTTGAGGCCATTTCTTGAAGGTGTTGATGTAGTTTGGTTGAAGTTGTATGGATGATGACTGTAATAATAATCCTATGGGTATTTATTGCTGGAAAATTAATTTTATTAATTTTCAAAAATGAATTTTCTCCATTTTTGAGCATAAATATGGACTCTAAATATAATCAAAACGAACTATTGATTATATATTCTTGTTCTCCTCCGTGATATCTTCATTTCGATATATCACACGTCCAAAACGGATTAAAAATGAATAAGAAATTACTTGTCAAAGAAGGGCAATTGGAAGAGAAAATAAAGGAGTTAAGTGCGTTTTTAACTCATCCCACATTGGTGGGAGAATGAAAAGGAAATTAGTTTATAAGTACAAAGACTAGCTACCTTTGTAAGGCTTATTAGAACCAAGGCTCTATCTTGCACGCGCACGCAGGGGGGTGCAAATGCGAGCAAAATTTGGTTTTGGGCCATTGAACTTGTGTTCGAGCGCACGTCCTGTAGGCACGAATGCACTATCGGTCGACCAGAAAAGTTCAAGAGCCTTTTTGCAATTATTTCCTTTTGGTTAACAGTTACACAAACGAATTAAGAGCTATTCATCATAGATTTCGGTTTTAATTTCTTGATTAATTGTCTTATTTAATTGTGACAGTTACGATTTCGTTTTAATTACATCAGTTACATTGGGTAGTATAAATATCACGCCTATGTGACTGATTTGATACACTAATTTAATATATATATATATATATATATATATATATATATATATATATATATATATATATATATATATATATATAAAGAAATGCCCCCTTATGAACTGTTGTTGATTCTTATTGGTTGAATTTTTTTTTTCTTTCATAATCGTTTGCTTTCCACGTGTTTTGGTTCTCCAATTTCAATGTTGCCGATTTTGGTTATTTGGAAGTGGGTGTATCGGTTTATGCGTCTCATATACACGTATCTTCCACCGCCTCTGACCTCCAATGGCTTTTATCCACATACGTAACACTTGCATGCTCCACATTACATCTCCTTCTTCATTCTTTACAACAAATCACCCATTTCTTTTCTCATCGGCTTCCACAAATTTATATCGGTTTAAGACGATTGTCACACTAATTTTGGACCTTTACACTTACGTTCCTTAACATATTCTTTCAAAGATTGAGGCTTCGTCACTCACCCACCGCCTCTCCCATCCAATAATGTGTTGCTACCGCCACCGCCTCTCGCATCCAATCAGTTACCACCACCATTCCTTATCTTTCTCCCATGATTAAATCCATTCTCCTTCTAAAGCTCTGTTTCTTCTGCATCCAACCATAGAGAAGGGATATCAGTCGATACCCCTTCTCTATTTTCTTCTTCGTTTGTATTTCCCCTGCCTCTTGCTTCAGATTGTGAATTGATTCTCATTCTACGTTATTCGTCTGCTTTCTTCAAGCATCAACAAAGAATTTACTATTTGTGACTCATTAGTGGAGAAGAATCCAACCAGACACCACGTTCGAGTCGCTGAAGGACGGAGAAGTAATATCGGTGGCGGCGGTTGCCTTTGTGGAAAACCAACAGAGCGAATATGCTTTGCTTTGATCTTGGTCGAACAGACTGATAACGTCTCCTTTTGCGACGTCGCTGCTTGGCTTTTTTCTATCTTCTTCGCTTTCTTTGAATTCCTAACCATAACCAAATCCGAGTCCTAATTTTTGGCGAAAATCATGACCAATCTAAGCCCTGATTTTAGACTTCACTATCTGTATTAGTTTTCTATCTGAAATTTTTTTACCTGCTGCCCTCTTTCCATTACATACCTTCGAACGGGATTTGCAGCGATGGATAGGGCTTCATCACCTTCGACGGCGATGGAACACCTCAACCAAGTATATAAGCCTTAATTTTTCGACTTACTTTTCTTTTCGCAATTTGGAGTTACCTCAATTGTTTGAATTAGAACAGAATGAGATTGCTATGATTCAAGTAACTCTTAAGCTCACATGATTGGATTTCCAATCAAAGCATTTCTTTCAACTTTATTGTCTCACTCTGGGTTATTTTTCAATACTAATGAAAACAAGGAATGCAAATGATGTTTTCACTGCCAAGAAGAAGTTGTTGAATCAACACGATACTAAACTCATCAATTTGTCATTTTTTGTGCAAGTGGCTGAGATTTTCATGTAAAACAAGGTAAAGTGTGACCTCGATAGGAAAAACATGACTTACTGTGTACCTAAAAGACTTGAGGGGGTCCAACCTTCCAAGACTTTATCATCTTCTTATACGCAATTAGGAATCGGTCACAACCATAGTAATCTTTGTATTCACTTCTTAACTCTTTTTTATTATAACTCGGATCGTCCTTATTGTTTCGATTTTAGTACCTAACCAATGTAAAAAGATAATTTTCCTTTATTATTATTTTTTATATTTATTAATTTATTAAAAAATAATAAGATGGAAATCCCCTTATTCTTGTTCTTCTCATATACCCAAAGACAACATGTTCCTCGACCGCTCTCATCTCCCACCGCCACCACTCATCCATTTTTCCTCCTTCATCTCCCTTTTCATCGGAAACCTTCATCACCGCGTCCATTTCTTGCCTTATACCTATAGATGAACGATTAACCTGCAGTTGATTAACCTTCATCACCGCGTCCATTTCTTGCCTTATACCTATAGATGAATGATTAACCTGCAGTTGATTAACCTTATAAACTTGACTAAAATTCTTGAAATAGACATAATCAAAATTTCTTGAATCGTAGACAACAGTTCCTACAAAATACACTAGTTGTAATCGGTAGTTTCAAGTTGTCAATGTTACTTAACCCTCCATACTACTAGAAAAACGTTAATCTAATATGGGGATAAAATATAGGTAGGAAGTATTGTTAGATTTTTTTTGTATAAATATTTATATTTTTACTAACTTTTGACATATATAATTAACTGTAAGTGGTTTGTGTTTTTCTCCGTGATATATATATATATATATATATATATATATATATATATATATATATATGTTAATCTAATATGGGGATAAAATATATATGTTGTATATATAATTAACTCTAAGTGGGTTTGTGTTCTTCTCCGTGAGAGCTTCGAAATAATATATCATATGTCCAAAATGGAGTATGTGTGAATGATATATCGATACTCAAAGATAGGTATTTGAGAATAGAAGTTAGCAAGAGAGGTGGGTGTGGGAATGAGTCTCACATTGGAAGAAAGACCATACTCAAGTAAGTTTATGCAACAATTGGTAAAAATTGATCAGAGTTCGGCGGTCAAACGACCGCGAACCGCTATGTGTTAAGGACCAATTGTGTGTAATTCTATGTTTATAATGTTTGTTAAAGATATTTTATTCATAATTATTTTCAGAACATCCTAAACTGCTCAAACTGTCTATCGTTGAAGATTGAATCGAAAATCACTAAAATTTTAAATTCTATTTGTGACGTTAAAAATAAAATTTTGCATTAATTATATTTGAAAGTTATGAATAAGAAAAATGAATAGATTAGGTTCTCCTGATTTCATAGATATAAAGAACGCCCAAAATGGATTTCGTATGTGAAAGTTACGCCTCTTTAAAGTTACAAAATCAGTATTTATCTGATTTTCTTGAAATAAACTGTGCACTGCTTCGTTTGGAATAGCTACGAACCTCGAAAATCACTTTTGAGCACGTTTTTGAATTCGCACTACGGTATATCGGAATTATTTTATTATATTTTTATAATATTTTTAACCTCGACTAAAATCAGATTCGTAAAATCTCTCAAATTTGATCCTATTAATCGCGAAACTTTAAACATTAATTCACGGATTTTGGTATATCGGAATTGAATTCCATATATGTTTCTGGAATTTTCACGACCGAAACAATAAATTCTCCCTAATAAATAAAGATCTTTTTTGTCACATGTCACATTCTCATTTATTTTGCCACATGTAATTTTGTGGTTATTTTAAATTAATTTTTATTTCACATGTCATTTTATGATTTTTTCATTTTATTAAATTGTAGATAATATTTACATTCAATAATAAATGTCTATCTATTTCATTAATGAACTTTCCTTCTAATTTCAAAATTACCAAATTAAAGATTCATTACTTTTCTTTATTTATTTATCTAAATTATTTGTTTAAATTAAAAAAAAACACTTTAATTTTTATAATACAATATTTTCTCACTTTTCTTATAAATTCATATTTTTCAAATGTTTAGAAATTTTGTATTTAATTTTTTTTAATAAACTCATGTAATACATGGGTCTCACACTTAGTAAGCACATATAAAATGATTTTTTTTACATGTCAAGACCTATTAACATAAGAATCTATAAAACGGGTGACGGTTTCCTCACCTAAATATTGAAAGTAAGTTGCATGTATTTGTGTATCCTCTTAATACCTTTTAAATTACCAAAATTCAACTCCAAATATGAGTGTATGTATACCGTGCAAAGCAAGATATGATATCTTCTAAGATTTTTATTGTATAAACAAAATCATAAAAGATCAATTCAAATATGGGGAGATCAGATGAGATCCAAAAAAAAAAAAAATCGATTTCACACTCGACCTCTCTGATCTCTCCCTCTGTTCTCACTTGATTCACCGAAATGACAAATGAGGAGAGGAAGACAGCCACCCTCCATTCCAGTCACTTTTAGTAGCCCAGCGCGGCCTCCTCTTCTCTGTTGTAACGTCCCAAAAATTTCAACAGAATTTAAACTTTTAAAAACGATCCTTTTAGTAATAAAATGTTTACAAAAATAGTGTTCTCAACCATTATTTGAAAATCAGAGTTTCCCAAGATCCAATCTGTTGTAAAATCAAGGATGTGTACGGTCACACCTTCACCTTGCCACTCCGATAATCTGAAACACCTAAAACCATAAACAAAACTGTAAGCATAAAACTTAGTGAGTTTCCTACAGAGTACCACCACACAAAACAAAACATAAACTCAAACACTCACGCCTGGCCCAATCAACCTCGGGATGGAATACCAGGCA